GACCTAGAATTCATCGAAACACTTCTTATTGGTGTTACGATACGTATTTTCAAGCGTTCATGTGTTTCGTTGCAAACAAAATTTTTGAAAAATTTCAGATTTTGAACATTTTTTCACAGTCCGGGGTCATAAGTTTGTGAAAAATACTTGGTCTTCTTTTTCGAAAAATGACTAGAAATCATCGAAACACATTCCATGTGTCGGAACGTATTTTCAAGCGTTTCATTGTTGTTTCGACGAAAAAAAAATAATTTGAAAAAAATTTTCAGATTAATGAATTTTTCACAGTCCGGGTTCATAGATTTGTGGAAAAATATTGTCGTTTTTTTTTCAAAATGACCTAGAAATTCATTCGAAAACACTTCTAATGTAGGGTTAGAACGATTTCAAGCGTTTCATGTTGTTTCGTGAGAAACAAAAATTTTGAAAAATTTTCAGATTTTTGACTTTTTCACAGGTCAGGCATAGATTTGTGAAAAGATGACTTGGTCGTTTTTTTCAAAAATGACCTGAAATCATCCAAAACACCTTCTATGGTTTCGGAACGTATTTCGAAGCGTTTTCATGCTTGTTTCCTGCGAAAAAAAATTTTTAAAAATTTTACCGATTGTTCGAACTTTTCCACAGTCCGGGGGTCATAGATTTTGTGAATAAATGACTTGGTTCGTTTTTTCGAATCATTACTCTAGAAATCGATAGAAAACACTTCGATATGTGTCGGAACGTATTCTTTCAAGCGTTTCATGTTATTTCATGCAAAAAAAAAATTTTGAAAAATTTTCCGATTTTTCAACTTTTTCACAGGTCCGGGGTCATAGATTTTGTGAAAATTGACTTGGTTCGTTTTTTTCAAAAATGACCTAGAAATTCATCGAAAACACTTCTTATGGTGTTTGGAATGTATTTTCAAGCGTTCCATGTTGTTTCGTGCGAAAAAAAAATTTTGACAAATTTTTCAGTTTTTTGAACTTTTTCACAGGTCCGGGGTCATAGATTTAGTGAAAAATGACTTGGTTCTTTTTTTTCGAATATTACCTAGAAATTCATAGAAAACACTTCATATGGTGTTCGGAACGTATTTTCAAGCGTTTCATGTTATTTCATGCGAAAAAAAAATTTTGAAAAATTTTCAGATTTTTGAACTTTTTCACAGGTCCTGGATCATAGATTTTGTGAAAAATGACTTGGTTCGTTTTTTTTCAAACATGACCTAGAAATTCATCAAATAAATTTCTAATGGTTCGTTTTGCAAGATATGGCTTCAAAGCCTCTCTAGAAAAGTGCTATTTGTATTCTCAATGAGTAATAAGCCCTTTTGTGTTAGTCAGAAAAAACTTTATTTTTTTCAAAGTTTAAAGTTTTTAATTTTTTTTGCAAGTGAAGGGTTATACGTTTTTTTATTTTTAGTCATTCTTTTTCAGGTATCATTTGGAAACTCATAGAAATGTGTCAAAATGTCTACAGAAAGGTATTAATATTTTTTTACTATTCTTTCAAGCCGAGAACTGTTTTATGAAATTTTCAGATCTTTCACCTTTTTACACGGTTCTAGGGTAATAGATTTTCTTAAAAAATGACTTGGTTCATATTTTTTCATGTATGACTTGGAAATTCATCGAAAACACTTCTTATGGTGTTTAGAACGTATTTTCAAGCGTTTCATGTTGTTTCGTGCGAAAAAAAAATTTTGAAAAATTTTCAGATTTTTGAACTTTTTCACAGGTCCAGGGTCATAGATCTTGTGAAAATTGACTTGGTTCGTTTTTTTCAAAAATGACCCAGAAATTCATCGAAAACACTTCTTATGGTGTTCGGAACGTATTTTCAAGCGTTTTTCTTGTTGTTTCGTGCGAAAAAAAAATTTTGAAAAATTTTCAGATTTTTGAACTTTTTCACAGGTCCGGGGTCATAGATTTTGTGAAAAATGACTGGGTTCGTTTTTTTCAAAAATGACCTAGAAATTCATCGAAAACACTTCTTATGGTGTTCGGAACGTATTTTCAAGCGTTTCGTGTTGTTTCGTGCGAAAAAAAAATTTTGAAAAATTTTCAGATTTTTGAACTTTTTCACAGGTCCGGGGTCATAGATTTTGTGAAAAATGACTTGGTTCGTTTTTTTCAAAAATGACCTAGAAATTCATCGAAAACACTTCTAATGGTGTTCGGAACGTATTTTCAAGCGTTTCATGTTGTTTCGTGCGAAAAAAAATTTTGAAAAATTTTCAGATTTTTGAACTTTTTCACAGGTCCGGGGTCATAGATTTTGTGAAAAATGACTTGTTCGTTTTTTTTCAAAAATGACCTAGAAATTCATCGAAAACACTTCTTATGGTGTTCGGAACGTATTTTCAAGCGTTTCATGTTGTTTCGTGCGAAAAAAAAATTTTGAAAAATTTTCAGATTTTTGAACTTTTTCACAGGTCCGGGGTCATAGATTTTGTGAAAAATGACTTGGTTCGTTTTTTTTCAAAAATGACCTAGAAATTCATCGAAAACACTTCTTATGGTGTTCGGAACGTATTTTCAAGCGTTTCATGTTGTTTCGTGCGAAAAAAAAATTTTGAAAAATTTTCCGATTTTTGAACTTTTTCACAGGTCCGGGGTCATAGATTTTGTGAAAAATGACTTGGTCGTTCTTTTTCAAAAATGACCTAGAAATTCATCAAATAAATTTCTAATGGTTCGTTTTGCAAGATATGGCTTCGAAGCCCCTCTAGAAAAGTGCTATTTGTTTGTCAATGAGTAAAAAGCCCTTTTGTGTTTGTCAGAAAAAACTTTATTTTTTTCAAAGTTTAAAGTTTTTAATTTTTTTTGCAAGTGAAGGGTTATACGTTTTTTTATTTTTAGTCATTCTTTTTCGGTATCATTTGGAAACTCATAGAAATGTGTCAAAATGTCTACAGAAAGGTATTAATATTTTTTTACTATTCTTTCAAGCCGAGAACTGTTTTATGAAATTTTCAGATCTTTCACCTTTTTACACGGTTCTAGGGTAATAGATTTTCTTAAAAAATGACTTGGCTCATATTTTTTCAAATATGACTTGGAAATTCATCGAAAACACTTCTTATGGTGTTTAGAACGTATTTTCAAGCGTTTCATGTTGTTTCGTGCGAAAAAAAATTTTGAAAAATTTTCAGATTTTTGAACTTTTTCACAGGTCCGGGGTCATAGATTTTGTGAAAAATGACTTGGTTCGTTCTTTTTCAAAAATGACCTAGAAATTCATCGAAAACACTTCTAATGGTGTTTAGAACGTATTTTCAAGCGTTTCATGTTGTTTCGTGCAAAAAAAAATTTTGAAAAATTTTCAGATTTTTGAACTTTTTCACAGGTCCGGGGTCATAGATTTTGTGAAAAATGACTTGGTTCGTTTTTTTTCAAAAATGACCTAGAAATTCATCGAAAACACTTCTAATGGTGTTTAGAACGTATTTTCAAGCGTTTCATGTTGTTTCGTGCGAAAACAAAAGTTTTGAAAAATTTTCAGATTTTTGAACTTTTTCACAGGTCCGGGGTCATAGATTTTGTGAAAAATGACTTGGTTCGCTTTTTTCAAAAATGACCTAGAAATTCATCGAAAACACTTCTTCTAACCTAGAAATTCATCGAAAACACTTCATATGGTTTTTGGAACGTATTTTCAAGCGTTTCATGTTGTTTCGTGCAAAAAAAAATTTTGAAAAATTTTCAGATTTTTGAACTTTTTTACAGGTCCGGGGTCATAGATTTTGTGAAAAATGACTTGGTTCGTTTTTTTTTCAAAAATGACCTAGAAATTCATAGAAAACACTTCTTATGGTGTTCGGAACGTATTTTCAAGCGTTCCATGTTGTTTCGTGCGAAACAAAATTTTTGAAAAATTTTCAGATTTTTGAACTTTTTCACAGGTCCGGGGTCATAGATTTTGTGAAAAATGACTTGGTTCGTTCTTTTTCAAAAATGACCTAGAAATTCATCGAAAACACTTCCTATGGTGTTCGGAACGTATTTTCAAGCGTTTCATGTTGTTTCGAACGAAAAAAAAAATTTTGAAAAATTTTCAGATTTTTGAACTTTTTCACAGGTCCGGGGTCATAGATTTTGTGAAAAATGACTTGGTTCGTTTTTTTTCAAAAATGACCTAGAAATTCATCGAAAACACTTCTAATGGTGTTTAGAACGTATTTTCAAGCGTTCCATGTTGTTTCGTGCGAAACAAAAATTTTGAAAAATTTTCAGATTTTTGAACTTTTTCACAGGTCAGGGGTCATAGATTTTGTGAAAAATGACTTGGTTCGTTTTTTTTCAAACATGACCTAGAATTTCATCAAATAAATTTCTAATGGTTCGTTTTGCAAGATATGGCTTCGAAGCCTCTCTAGAAAAGTGCTCTTTGTATTCTCAATGAGTAATAAACCCTTTTGTGTTAGTCAGAAAAAACTTTATTTTTTTCAAAGTTTAAAGTTTTTAATTTTTTTTGCAAGTGAAGGGTTATACGTTTTTTTATTTTTAGTCATTCTTTTTCAGGTATCATTTGGAAACTCATAGAAATGTGTCAAAATGTCTACAGAAAGGTATTAATATTTTTTTAATATTCTTTCAAGCCGAGAACTGTTTTATGAAATTTTCAGATCTTTCACCTTTTTACACGGTTCTAGGGTAATAGATTTTCTTAAAAAATGACTTGGTTCATATTTTTTCAAATATGACTTGGAAATTCATCGAAAACACTTCTTATGGTGTTCAGAACGTATTTTCAAGCGTTTCATGTTGTTTCGTGCGAAACAAAATTTTTGAAAAATTTTCAGATTTTTTAACTTTTTCACAGGTCCGGGGTCATAGATTTTGTGAAAAATGACTTGGCTCGTTCTTTTTTTTTCAAAAATGACCTAGAAAGTCACCGAAAACACTTCTTATGGTGTTCGGAACGTATTTTCAAGCGTTTCATCATAGTCATAAGAAATAGCTAGTCTGGAAACGAACAATAGGCTATTGTTTTAACAATGCGGCTCTTCGAGGATGTTGATTTCACAACAGCAACAACGCGTGGGTGCAATTAGTTCAATCATGGAAGGGGAACAACATAGTAGTGATACCAACGCCGATGAGTTTGAATTACTTTTTGATCCTGAATTTGCCGAATGGCTGGAAAACGATGATGAATTTATGAAGTCGATGGATCTGCTTGCAAATGTAGAGGTTGGTACTGTTCATATGTACTGATACTTTTGTATCACTTTCCCGTATTATTATTTCAACCTTTCTTTGATGTAGGCCCAGTCCATGCGCAAACTCTATATATCTGTATGTCAGTAACAGATCTGAACGCTAAAACTATGTCAGTTTATTAAAACAGTTGTGTTGAGTTGGTAAGTGTTAGTGTTAATTATGATGTCAGGTCAGGTAAATATCTATGTGAATACATCGCCAAGGACGGCCTATAATGTGCAAGTCAAAATGGAATTTTCTTGCCGCCCGCGTAGACGTCTTATAGCAAAAAGAAAACTGTAATCGACATCAAGGACCGAGATACCGGGCTGGGCCCCCAGAAAACTTACGTATTGTGAGTAAAACACTTTTATCTTGTAAAACACGGCTGTTTTTTCTCTTATTTATCAGGGCTGCCCCCCCCCAAACAAAAAGTTATATCTCAGTCTTTAATCGACATGCGAGGAAACTTTTAATCAATATTTTGTAGAGCACATAAATTTGTTATTTAATATATATAGCAGGGTGATAAAATTTTATCTTTTGCATTTGTCTTTGCTAGGATGATTCTGCAGACCAAATCCTGCATTGCCAAAAATGTGAGAAAACATTCAAGACAAAACGTGGACTACTGCGGCATGAAAAAACAGCGCACTCTGCTCCAAATGAAGAAACCCATAAGAGGAAACTCTGTCATCCATTGGAAATAAAGAGAATTGCCAATGAAGCTGGGAAAAAACTAGCTGCTGACAAATGCTTTCCAGAGCTAATCCGATCCAACTTCAGCTCCTTTAGTATTACCAACGAAGAATGCCTAATTTTGAAAGATCTATTTTCATCTGCTATAGATGTTTTCAATGGGGACCTACAAAAGTTCTGTTCCACAACTTATTCTAAGTTTTCTTCTAGAGAAGTTAAGACTCTCGGAGCACTGAGTGAATTTGAAACCACTTTATTGCTTACTGAAATTTTAAATCTTTATCTTTCACACCTTGCTGGCAGTGCTAATGAAGTTAATATACCATTAAAGAAGATATCTGCAAAAGAAGTAGAGAGTTTGGAATACTTGGCAGGATACTGTTTTAGAAAGACATACTTCAAGTTAAGAAGCAGTAGAACTAAACATTTAGAAGCAACTGAGCAGTCTCTTGCAATTATCAATGCTGCAAAAACAGATGAACCCCAGTCCTTTGTTGACTTGAAAAACAACACTGGTCTTTGGAAGGTAAACAGACATGCTACTGCATTACTTCGTCAAGTAGAAATGGTCTTTAGAAAACAAGCAGGACTGTCTTTGCATTCTGTAAATGCAGATGAAATTATTGAAATTTCAATGGTCAACCCAGTTGTCAAATCTTGTATGACTTCAATGTCCTGGAATACAGATTATTTAGACATTGATGAGGAGATTGTGCAAAATGTATTTCACTTGATCATCAAGTTGTATGTGAATGTACGTGCACATTCATTTGCAAAGGACATACGGGAAAAACACAAATCAAGAAAGAAGGCAAACAGAAAAAAGTCATTAAGAGTTGAATTGAAGAGGACAAATGATGGTATAAATGTGTAGCATCCTTAACATGAATACTTTAAAGGCATATTTTAAACAGTGACATTATATGTTAAACAATCAAATTAACTAAGTTCATTTTTGCTATATAGAAACGTTAAATCACTACATTGAAATGTTAAATCAAAAAAGAATATAAGGTTTAAAATTTACTTATTGTCTCAAGTTCAGTGTTTTTCATTTTCTTTTTCTTTTTGGTAATGGCTCAGTGGAAATAGCATTGAACTTTGATGCAGCATGAGTAACATTACCTGCTATTGGTACAATGCTGAACTGGCTCTTGATTATGTTGTCATTATAGCCAACACTCTGAAGATTGGGGTTATCTCTTCTTTGACCCATGGACCTTTGCCTCCCAAAGTAGTTTTCTAAATCATCTTGACAGAAGCGCTCTGTTAAAACATAATGAGCTCCCTTTGACAATAGAAATCTTGTTGCCTCGATCACTGAGTGTACAGATCTTTGAAGACCGTTGTATGTTTGTCGTGAAATAAACATTGCTTGCTTTTCAGACTTAGAATATTGTCCCTCTCTGTTTTCAATTGATTTCTTCCAGTCAGCAAAAAACTTTAAGAAAACATTTTCTAGCCATGAAAATCTTTCATCATCTTCAGATTCGAATGGTTTTAAAAACTTTTTCCCTTTCTGCAAATGCTCTTGCTTGTTGCGGACATTGAAACAGTCAAAAAAGTTATCCATCAGGGAACAAAACTCAGCTGTGCCTTTTGCATCACTAGAGCCATATTCACCAAGAACCTTGGCCACAGTTGAGCTCAGAATTTGTACAGCAAGCCTTACTCTCATAGCAGAGTAAGGTGTTAGGTTGATATGCTCATAGGTAAGACGAGGCAATAATTTCAACCCAAATTCAAGCTCTTCATAATATAGCTTACTTATGTGGCTCCAAAGAATGTGAATGCCACTGTTCCAAAGAAACCTTGATGATTTGTTTGAGCCTGAATTTGCTAGGTTGTTGCGAGCAGTCTTCATAAGATGGGGGGCATCATTGAAGAAAAAGACAAATCTGTCTGGTGCATAAATATTCTTGACACCATAAACAACACCATTCTGTGCTTTACCATCCATTTGTTTGTGCATGTGAAAAAATGAATGATTAGAAGATGCACCATCTCCAACTGCTCCTATTACACATAAATTACATGCGGCTTCAAGGATGCCAACTGCTCGCCGAAACAACAGAAAAAGCTGAGCTGAAGTGACCCCTGTTGTTGCAAATGTTGCAAAACTATATGACAGTGGGTTTACAACGCTTTTCACAAGGAAAACTAGCACATGAGTTGCAACTTCATCAACTGTTTTTAGGGTTCCAAAGTTGACTTCAGGGTCACCCAAATCAACAAACCCTATCAATTCTCCTGAATTTTTGTCCCATACAAGATCTTCTTGTATCTTCATTTCATCAAAGCAAATTATGATGTATCTTTCAACATTTGTAAATTCTCTTGTTCCTTTCTCCAACTGACTGACGACAGCATCATTAAAACCTCTTTTTGGGTGAATGTAATGTCTATAGTCTCTGAGTGTACGGAGGCTTGGAAGAATTAGCACACCACTTCCATGTTTTTCATCAAACCTCATTTCCTTATAGGCAGATGTAGACTTTGCAGCAAGTGCCAAGCAATACTTAATAATCATTGGATGGTATCTAACTTGGCTTGGTCTTTGCTGCAAATATTTCTGTTGCTCTTCCCAGAAAAGTTTCATAAAGGGGGGTATATTTCTGTTATTGCAAGATCTGAATAATTCTTTCAAATCATCTCCAAGGTCATTGCTTACAGGCTTTGCCTTGGTGTCAATTTCTCTCTTCATCTCCTCAAGCCGCAATTCAAGTTGCTTGCATTTTATCCTGTTTTCCTGGAGAGCTAATTTGATGCGTACTGGATGAGTTGCTGATAAGGGTGCCTTGAGTTTTGCAGCAGAACATTTTGTGTCATCTTTTCTCTTTTTCTGTTTTGCTTCATACTGCTCTTTTGATTTGCATGGTAAGCATTGACCCTCATCTTGTAGCAAAACTTCACAAGATGTTGCACGCAGGTACTCCTGCTGCTTCAAAGGTGTCTCTACCATTGACGAAGACATACAGGAAACAACCATGGGAACAACATGATGGATCATACTTTTGTTTTGATACTCAAAGCCAATTCTTGTGTTAATTCCTGAGCAAAGTACTGCTGTTTGAAGATCTTTCATAAGAGTTGATAGAGTTAAATTTTTGAAAGTACATCCTGATTGTTTCAGAAAACTGCAACTTGGCTTTAACAACCACCCGAACACACGTACAGCAAAGCTTAGATTCTCCTCTACTACAATTTCAAATTTTGGAACGGTATACTGAATGTCCTTTTTTGCAATATAGCAGCTGTTGGTGCTAGCTTTAATCTCAATATCCAATTTCAAATCACCCACTCTTTTAATAAATTGTTTGAAATCTGTGTAACATGGAGCTGCTGTTGAATGAGATGAAAAACGCAAAATTTCACGCTTGGCAATCTGGCTTTCTGACCTACATCCTTGTGGCTGATTTGGCAGACTTTTTTCTGGTAAATTCACTGTCGGAATAGCACCTTCTTTAAGTGTTTTGCGATTATTATCTAAAAAGAGACGTACAATCAAAAAGCAAATAGATAATAAAAATTTATAAAATTTGTGAACTTCTATTGTGTTCTAATTTGTTCATATTTCCACGCTGCAATTTAAATCTAAATGAATTTATAAATGACATATGGAAATATCAATGATTGATATTCATTAAAACAACTACATTCACAGAGGCTGACTGTCTTGTCAAAAACGATTTTTGAGCAAGCATAATTTTAGTACCTTTTCAAACATATAAATACATAGCACTTAGGAGGCTCGATCACCTCTTGTTATTGTCGAAAACGCGTTTCTACTATTTTCTTTTGCCTTCGTGAGAATTTTTTCCGAAAGCCCCCTTTTCTAGCACAACATTCCTGAACAGACAAAACTAGTTGCATAATTCTTTACCACACAATTCTGGTTATTATCATCTTTGACGCGTGTGCAATAACGAATATTCGTGCCTTTAATAGACATTCGAACTATACTCACAATAATAGAGTTGATCTGGTCTGAAGTGTTGTTCGCAGATGTAGACACGATCTTCTCTTATTTGTTCTCGTAGGCCAACATCAATAACTCGATCTCTTGTGATGACGTTCAAAATTTCATTTCTCCATCGCTTTGTTTCATCGTCCACAGCTTTAGGAAGCTTAAAGATCAATATTTCCTTGTATTTTTTCGTTCGACACGCTCCACAACCATAAATCGCGCAATTACTTCCAGGCATACTTTACAGTTTACAACATCATCGCGAAAAGCAAACAAAACCTGATTGCACTTACGGAGGTCTGGGACCTAGCGGAACGAAGGACAAAAACATATAACAAGAGCCTATTGTTCGTTTCCAGACTAGCTATTTCTTATGACTATGGTTTCATGTTATTTCATGCGAAAAAAAATTTTTGAAAAATTTTCATATTTTTGAACTTTTTCACAGGTCCGGGGTCATAGATTTTGTGAAAAATGACTTGGTTCATATTTTTTCAAATATGACTTGGAAATTCATCAAAAACACTTCTTATGGTGTTTAGAACGTATTTTCAAGCGTTTCATGTTGTTTCGTGCGAAAAAAAAATTTTGAAAAATTTTAAGATTTTTGAACTTTTTTCACAGGTCCGGGGTCATAGATTTTGTGAAAAATGACTTGGCTCGTTCTTTTTCAAAAATGACCTAGAAATTCATCGAAAACACTTCATATGGCGTTCGGAACGTATTTTCAAGCGTTTCATGTTGTTTCGTGCGAAAAAAAAATTTTGAAAAATTTTCAGATTTTTGAACTTTTTTACAGGTCCGGGGTCATAGATTTTGTGAAAAATTACTTGGTTGGTTTTTTTTCAAAAATGACCTAGAAATTCATCGAAAACACTTCTTATGGTGTTCGGAACCCATTTTCAAGCGTTTTTCTTGTTGTTTCGTGCGAAAAAAAAATTTTGAAAAATTTTCCGATTTTCGAACTTTTTCACAGATCCGGGGTCATAGATTTTGTGAAAAATGACTTGGGTCGTTCTTTTTTAAAAATCACCTAGAAATTCATCGAAAACACTTCATATGGTGTTCGGAACGTATTTTCAAGCGTTTCAAGTTGTTTCGTGGAAAAAAAAATTTTGAAAAATTTTCAGAATTTGCAACTTTTTCACTGGTCCGGGGTCATAGATTTTGTGAAAAATGACATGGTTTGTTTTTTTTTTCAAAAATGACCTATAAATTCATAGAAAACACTTCATATGGTGTTCGGAACTTATTTTCAAGCGTTTCATGTTATTTCATGCGAAAAAAATTTTTTGAAAAATTTTCATATTTTTGAACTTTTTCACAGGTCCGGGGTCATAGATTTTGTGAAAATTGACTTGGTTCGTTTTTTTCAAAAATGACCTAGAAATTCATCGAAAACACTTCTTATGGTGTTCGGAACGTATTTTCAAGCGTTTCATGTTGTTTCGTGCAAAAAAGAAATTTTGAAAAATTTTCAGATTTTTGAACTTTTTCACAGGTCCGGGGTCATAGATTTTGTGAAAAATGACTTGGTTCGTTTTTTTTCAAAAATGACCTGAAATTCATCAAAAACACTTCTATGGTGTTTAGAACGTAATTTCAAGCGTTCATGTTGTTTCGTGCGAAAAAAAAATTTTGAAAATCTTCAGTTTTTTGAACTTTTTCACAGGTCCGGGGTCATAGATTTTGTGAAAAATGACTTGGTTCTTTTTTTTTCAAAAATGACCTAGAAATCACCGAAAACACTTCTTATGGTGTTCGGAACGTATTTTCAAGCGTTTCATGTTGTTTTGTGCGGAAAAAAAAATTTTGAAAAATTTTCAGATTTTTGAACTTTTTCACTGGTCCGGGGTCATAGATTTTGTGAAAAATGACTTGGTTCGTTTTTTTTCAAAAATGACCTAGAAATTCATCGAAAACATTTCATACTTCTTATGGTGTTTAGAACGTATTTTCAAGCGTTTCATGTTGTTTCGTGCGAAAAAAAAATTTTGAAAAATTTTCAGATTTTTGAACTTTTTTCACAGGTCCGGGGTCATAGATTTTGTGAAAAATGACTTGGCTCGTTCTTTTTCAAAAATGACCTAGAAATTCATCGAAAACACTTCTATGGTGTTCGGAACGTATTTTCAAGCGTTTCATGTTGTTTCGTGCGAAACAAAATTTTTGAAAAATTTTCAGATTTTTGAACTTTTTCACAGGTCCGGGGTCATAGATTTTGTGAAAAATGACTTGGTTCGTTTTTTTTCAAAAATGACCTAGAAATTCATCGAAAACACTTCTTATGGTGTTCGGAACGTATTTTCAAGCGTTTCATGTTATTTCGTGCGAAAAAAAAATTTTGAAAAATTTTCAGATTTTGAACTTTTTCACAGGTCCGGGGTCATAGATTTTGTGAAAAATGACTTGGGTCGTTCTTTTTCAAAAATGACCTAGAAATTCATCGAAAACACTTCTATGGTGTTCGGAACGTATTTTCAAGCGTTTCATGTTGTTTCGTGCGAAAAAAAAATTTTGAAAAATTTTCAGATTTTTGAACTTTTTCACAGGTCCGGGGTCATAGATTTTGTGAAAAATGACTTGGCTCGTTCTTTTTCAAAAATGACCTAGAAATTCATCGAAAACACTTCATATGGTGTTCGGAACGTATTTTCAAGCGTTTCATGTTGTTTCGTGCGAAAAAAAATTTTGAAAAATTTTCAGATTTTTGAACTTTTTCACAGGTCCGGGGTCATAGATTTTGTGAAAAATGACTTGGTTCGTTTTTTTTCAAAAATGACCTAGAAATTCATCGAAAACACTTCCTATGGTGTTTAGAACGTATTTTCAAGCGTTTCATGTTGTTTCGTGCGAAAAAAAAATTTTGAAAAATTTTCAGATTTTTGAACTTTTTCACAGGTCCGGGGTCATAGATTTTGTGAAAAATGACTTGGTTCGTTCTTTTTCAAAAATGACCTAGAAATTCATCGAAAACACTTCATATGGTGTTCGGAACGTATTTTCAAGCGTTTCATGTTGTTTCGTGCGAAAAAAAAAATTTTGAAAAATTTTCAGATTTTTGAACTTTTTCACAGGTCCGGGGTCATAGATTTTGTGAAAAATGACTTGGTTCGTTTTTTTTCAAAAATGACCTAGAAATTCATCGAAAACACTTCTTATGGTGTTCGGAACGTATTTTCAAGCGTTTCATGTTGTTTCGTGCGAAAAAAAAGTTTTGAAAAATTTTCAGATTTTTGAACTTTTTCACAGGTCCGGGGTCATAGATTTTGTGAAAAATGACTTGGTTCGTTTTTTTTCAAAAATGACCTAGAAATTCATCGAAAACACTTCTTATGGTGTCGTTTTGCAAGATATGGCTTCGAAGCCTCTCTAGAAAAGTGCTATTTGTATTGTCAATGAGTAATAAGCCCTTTTGTGTTAGTCAGAAAAAACTTTATTTTTTTCAAAGTTTAAAGTTTTTAATTTTTTTTGCAAGTGAAGGGTTATACGTTTTTTTATTTTTAGTCATTCTTTTTCAGGTATCATTTGGAAACTCATAGAAATGTGTCAAAATGTCTACAGAAAGGTATTAATATTTTTTTACTATTCTTTCAAGCCGAGAACTGTTTTATGAAATTTTCAGATCTTTCACCTTTTTACACGGTTCTAGGGTAATAGATTTTCTTAAAAAATGACTTGGTTCATATTTTTTCAAATATGACTTGGAAATTCATCGAAAACACTTCTTATGGTGTTTAGAACGTATTTTCAAGCGTTTCATGTTGTTTCGTGCGAAAAAAAAATTTCGAAAAATTTTCAGATTTTTGAACTTTTTTCACAGGTCTGGGGTCATAGATTTTGTGAAAAATGACTTGGCTCGTTCTTTTTCAAAAATGACATCGAAATTCATCGAAAACACTTCATATGGTGTTCGGAACGTATTTTCAAGCGTTTCATGTTGTTTCGTGCGAAAAAAAAATTTTGAAAA